CAGTGGAGGCTGTAAGAAAAAAATATGACAAGCTCAGAAACTTTGCAGTCTTGGATCAAGCCAGGATCCTCACATTTGAAGCCACATCATTGATACAGCCCACAGTCAGACCTGTCTGTGGCTGCAGGTTGCAAGTTTATAATGCAAGACGGTTTCAAAGCCTTGCTAGGCCTCTTGTGTGGATGTTAAGGACTTCATTGGTAAGAGTGGGCCCTGGGGATTGGGAAAGGGGCATTTTGGAAGACTTGGGTGAATCTTAGTACTCTGAACCCCAAATCCGCCAAAAACTTCCTCCTGTCAGCCCTTCCCCTCATTGAGCAGATTATAATGACTCCACCAGCAGCAATTACATCATAGACTACCAATCACTTAAAACCCAAACAGACCATTACTGACTGCATCAAGACCTGGAGAGAAACAAAGCCCCGTGAGCATAAAAGTAGGAGAGCCCTTCTGTTTAGAATTTCCATAGAAGTTTGTGAAGAGACTAAGGTAAGAAAGTAGAAGAAGAGACCCCCTTATGGGGTTGCCCAGGTGCTCATGTCATAGGATGAACCTCAGGTAAGACCCTGATCCTTTTGATCAACCAACAACATGGCAAAATTTTCCCATAGTCTTAACACAATTACATAAAAGATAAACGATAGAAATATAAATAATTATTTGCTGATTTCACCGAGGTGCTATGACTCTTATTTTACAAATATAATGGAACCCAGTGATGCAGGATTTGGGATAAAGCTGAATTGAAGTGACTCTGCAATTTCTTGCTGTTCTTTGGCTCTTTCTGTTAATGCAGAGAGCTGCCATGATGTATGAGGCAAGGATCCTGCATAAACCAAGAGAGCAGAAAGAGAAGGCAGCTGAGAAGGACAGGCCTTGCGCTTGGTGGAGGAGTGAATTATTGGGTTGCTGCCCTGGCTGCTGTCTCTCAGCCTGGGATGGCCCATGATTACATTTTACTGCTCTCGGAAGCTGGTGTCCCACCCTGTTAGCCTTTTGCAGAGTGAAGTAGAGACTGATTTGCCAACTTCAGAAACATCAAAAGAATAGTAAATATAACCATAACTATAATAATATGTTAATTATATTGCATTTAGTGAGCACATGACAGGCACTGGTAGGTATGAAGTGCTTTTCAAATATTCACTCAGTCCCTCAACAGCCCTATGAGTGAGATAGGTTGTTATAATCCTGAATTATAGGTTTGTAAAATCTGAATTTGTGAGAGGTTAAATTTCTAGCTTCATATCATGCTGATAGTTAATGATGGAGATGGGGCTCAAGCCTGGGCCTTTTAGGCTTTAAAACCCAAGACTTTAACCACTGTTCTTTTCCGACTTTCTTTTGCCACACATGAGGCCTTGGTCCTGTTTGTTTTGTCTATTATGCATCTCTCCAATCCAACCACTTTTCCCAGCACCACCACTCCAATAATGAACGCTATGATCTTTCTAAAGGATTATGTAGCAGCCTCATAACTGGTCTACTTTTACCCATTTTAACCCCACTTCTAATCTGTTATCTGCATTAGAGCAAAAAGGGAAATTTTTTTAAAACATAAATGTTATTATGCTGCACACTTTAATGACTTCATGTAAAGACCCATCTCTCCACACCAATTTTTTAGGCCCACGTGGTCTGCCCTTTACTCCATTTTGGGCCTCATGGAATCCATTGTTCCCTGTAGGTCCTGTCCCCTCCTTGCTTTCTCGTCTCCCATCTTTCTCATCTCCTCGAATGCACATTCACTTTTCTTTCATAGACCCTTTGCACATGCCGCTCGCTCCCTCTGTCTGGAGTGCGCTTCCAGACCCCGCCCCGGTCCCTCTTTGACCGAGCTAGAGCCATGCTTTCTGAAGATCACAGTTTAAATGTCACTTCCTTAGCCGAGTCTTTCTAATCTCTAAGTTAGTTCCCTTTGTTGAAAGGTGTCATAACAACACTTGCCTTTTCTCAGAGGTTGGTGTTTATAGTTATTTGTGTGGTTCTCCAATGAATGCCTACCTTCTTGATCATACTGTAAGCTCTTTGAAGGCAGGAACAGGTCAGGTTTTTGCTTACCAATATAGTCCCAAGGCTTAGGGTAGTATTTGATATATGGTAGCTTTTCAAACAATAGTTGTTAAAAAAAAAAAAAAAAAGGAAGGTACAACACACTTCCCTGGGGTGTATGAAAAGGACAACCTTTTCTAAAAGTCTATAATGTGCTTAGTCCTTCTGTGGAGGATAAAGTTGGCTGAGAGGGGAAGTCCAGTTCATAGGGCAGCCAAGGCCAGCCACAGCGCCCTAGACACTACCTGTCTAAGCCTGGGAGAACAGCAGCTAGGTCTAGTTAAGGAGTTTCCCTTGGTGGGAGCAATGCTTCAGGTTTACAACTTAAGTGGCTCACTTCTCAGGTAAGCAACTTAAGGAAGCTAATGCTTAACACATAACGCATATCTCCCTCCCCTAACCCCAGAAGCCTTCAGGGTGAATTGGTTATCCAAAGGGAAGGATTAAGTGGGAGAACTGAGCCAAATTCTTTTCTCCTGAGTGATAGGTCTAGAAGTTTAGATACCAGGCTGGTATCTACCCAGGCACAGGTTGCTATTTAGAATGACTCCCAAGGAGCTCTGGGTATCTATAATGAAAGTCACCTTGAGCAGAGGCTGAGGCACAATATACATTGAGACTGATACCAAACACTGCCCTCTCCTTTGCAATTAGAGATTGATCCTTTGGGCTCTAAAGGAAAGAGAGTTTACCAGATTCGTTCACCAGATTCACTTTAGAGACAGTCACGTTACTTAACTATGGAGATAGTCATTGTGTGAACTTCACAGAGGGAACTTACACAAACTTAGATGGTTTAGCCTACTATATACCTAGGCTATATGCTATAGCTTACTGCTTTTAACTACACATATATATTGCTTGGTACTGTATAAAACAACAACAAAAATAAATCAAGGACAGGAGAAGATGATGTGATCAAGAGCAGGGGTAAACACAAGATGTATGAGGCTGCGGCTGGCACAGCACGGCACACTGTTTTACAGCAAACTTTTCTCAATAAGTAAAAGAATACACTAGCCAAAACCGGTTTGGCTCAGTGGATAGAGCGTCGGCCTGCAGATTGAAAGGTCCCAGGTTCGATTCCGGTCAAGGGCATGTACCTGGGTTGCAGGCACAACCCCAGTGGGAGATGTGCAGGAGGCAGCTGATCGATGTTTCTAACTCTATCTCTCTCCCTTCCTCTCTGTAAAAAATCAATAAAAAATATATTTAAAAAAAAGAATACACTAAAATAATGATAAAAAAGTATAGTAAATACATAAACCAGTAATAGTCCTTTTTTATTACTATAAAGTATAATATACTGTAGGCAGTTGGATGTGCTAGTTATGGGACTGGTGGGACGGTATGTTTGTTTACAGCAGCATCACCACAAACATGTAACCCACTGCATTATGACATATTTTAAAAAACATGTTATTGATTTTAGAGAGGAAGGGAGAGGGAAAGAGAAGGAGAGAAACATAGATCAGGTTGCCTCCTCAACCTGGGATGGAACCGAAACCTGGACATGTGGCCTGACTGGGAATTGAACTAGTGACCTTTTGGTGCACAGGACAATGCTCAACCACTGACCCACCCGGCCAGGCAGGGCTGCGTTACAACATAGGGCTACCAGGTCACTACCCTTAGGAACTCCACTTTAATCTTATAGGACCACAGTGTAGATGCAGTCCGTTGTTGACAAAACTGTCATCATATAGCACATGGCTATTACTATTTGTAAAGAATCCAAAGAAAAAATTTGAAGAAAATGCAAAGCTAAAGACTGGAGTGTTGGCAGTGAGTGAGGGGAAAGAGAAGCTTTTGCTTTGTAAGCCAGTCCCTCCATTCAGCAAAGTGAGAGAATCAGAACTGTTTTTGTTCAGATTGAAAATCCGAGGGGGTAATTATTATGCTTAAGATTCTTGCAACATAGCTTCAATTATTTTAGCTGCCCTCCTCCCGCTGCCCTTGGACTTCATTGTCCGTGAAGAGAGACTGTGTTTGACTTTGCTTGGAAACCATAAAACCACAACAAAATCACTCTCCTGAGTGCTACTAGGCAACACCAACACGGGGATCTCTCCCGCACCAGGAGAAGGCCTTGTCCGGAAAGACTCACACAGGCTCAGATGGTGCATCCGACGGAACTGGAGGCAACTCTTCGGCATCATCTTAATAAACACTCAGCACTAAATCCGATGAAGATGCCCAGTGCCTCCTCAAGAGAGCGAAGCTTGATAAACAACAATAGCAAAACCCTGCAAAGCCCGGCCAGTCTCCGTGATGCTACGGGCTGCTGAACTGGCAGTCAAAAGGTCAGCTGCTGTTATCTTTCTGAAAAGTCCATTGAATGGGAGCCCTGGAATGTTCTTATTGAACTGCATCACTTCCTTCCTGGGACCATCAGGGCACTTCCCCAGCCTTTCAAGACAGGTTCTGCTCCAAAAAGGTCCACCGGGCGAGGAAACCCCAGGCCGAAGTTAGGGGCCGGCGCACACATAGTCTTGCTGGGGCTCTAGGCCATTTCTTCCCTCCTAGCCCCCCAGGAGGTGAAAGGCTCACCGAGAGGGTGGGTCACAGGCCTGACCTTGCTGCAGAGAAAAGCCCGAGGCCCTGCATCTCCGGGAGGGAGGTAAGGGACGCCTGTCAGACGCCCTCCCGGTGCCCCGTCCAGGGACCGGCGCAACCTGGAGCCTGGCGCGGGGCCAGGAGGGGTGTGGCGACTCCGGGTAGGGCTGGGACCCCGCCTGGGAACTGCACCGACACCCGACCTGCCCCTCGGAAAGGAGTATTCGCTCCGGGAGCGGCGGGGGGGCCGGGGGAGGGGGCGACGGGGGAGGCCTAACCCCCCAGGGTGCAGCCGGGGGGAGGACCCGATTGCAGAGGAGGGAGCGTGGCGACAGCCGGCGCCCGCTGAGCCGGTGCGCCAGCCCGGGAGCGCGGCTGCGGCTCGGGAGCCCGCCCTGCGCGCTGTCCTCGGAGCCCGGCGGCGGGCTCCCCGCAGCCCTGCATCCGCTCGCGCCGGGCGACGGAGACGGCGCCGGCCATTCGCTCGCTGCGCCGCCTGGAGCCTGGGCCAGCCCGGCAGAGAGAAGGTAAAAGGAAGGAGAGATGGGGGCGGGAAGAGAGGGAGAGGGGCTGAGAGGCTGGGTGCAAGCCGAAGAGATGGCAGACAAATTGCGAGCAAGTTTGCACTTGCTTCACGGGCGGTGCGTGCTCGGGGGAAGGCGGGGGCCGTGTGTGTGCGTGCGGCGCTCTTGGGTGGGGAGGCCGGAGGAGGCGAGCGTGTTCCCAGCATCTTGTACGCAGCTGCCCCTCTGCGGAGCCCCCTCTCTGGCTTGTCATTTCCGCTTATGGCACCTCTCTCGGGCTCCAGTGATGCCCAAGCAAAAGGCTGCCACCCTCTCGTTGTGATGGCTGGCACTGCGGCTCCTCTCCGATGGGAGGTGTGGGGCTTTGGACGCATTCTCGGAGCCTCCCTTCCTCCAGCCCAGACTATTTTGGGAAGGGCTGAGGGAGGGGGGCGGGCGGCAAAGCCGAGGGCTGGAAGCCTGAAGGAGGCCCCAGCTCCAGACTCTCCTCAGCTGTCACCCAGCAAACGCCTCCGCGGAGAGCCCACGCTAGGGGGCAAGGCAACTTTCCTCTCCTCCAGAAACACGCGTTTCAGACAGAGGTGGTGCGTTGCTGCCCGAGGAGTCCTGTGCAAGGGTGCTCCCCGGGCGGCAGGTGCCCTGCGGGCGAGGGGCAGGGGACCAGGCAGCAGGAAGCAGCATCCGCTGCAAAGCAGAGGGACCCCTTTGGGAAACGGGTTCGGTGTGCAGCCTGGGTAACAGCCTGGAGGCTGCAGGTTCGGGCCCAGCCCAGCCAGAAGCATCCGCTGTGGAATCGGCCCTACCCTCGCGGAATGTTCATGTCTGAGCTGCTCAGTTCGGAGTAGAAACCATGGTTGTAGCTGCCATTTTTCGGTGAAGGTTAAGAAAGTTCAAAGTGAATTATTATTATTTTTTTTCTTTTCTTTAGTGCTTATGTTTGTCTTCATCTGGGAGACACTTGCTGAAAGAAAACATTTGTAACCAGAAACCAGATCTACCCAAGAGAAAGTGTAATCATTCTCAATTAGGCAAAGGTTATTCATGCGACCCACATGTGCGTAAAATGCTGATTGAATCATGAGTCATGGGGATGGTTTTTTTTCAGAGGCTTGCTGTTCCCCAAGGTGAAAAAGATGAATAATATAGATAAAAAGTCCCTGACATCACCAGCGCAGTGGACTAGAACATGTCTATTTCTTCTTGTGTCTTTGAATCTGTATTACTTTGTGGCAAATTCAGAATGAAATGTGCCAGATGAAGGCTAGCTTAGTATGTTTCATGCAGAAGATAAAGGTGCAGCTTGACTCAGATAACATTGCTAACCTTTGAAAACATTTGCTTAGCTTCTACGTGGTAGTCTCATTATTGTCTTTCTCAGCTGGTGAATTTCCCCACTGCTTTCTTTCTGTCGTCGCTGGGCCCATGAAAAGACTTCTTCTCACTTGATTCTTTTCTGCAAAGGAGTAAGGATTGGGGAAGGATAGTTTACCATTTTAAAATGTTCAAGAATTGCTTGTGTGAAATGTGTAGGGTGCTACACCTAACTCTTGCTCTCTGATAATTATGCAACAGCTTCTTAGAAATGAGAGGAGGTGTAATGGAAAGAGGAGGCAAGCCCATGATTGGGCAAGGTTGGTAGCATTTTCTCCTGTGGTTCCCGCGCTAGATTCTACCGCCACACCCTGTGGCCTGAAGGTGACAGCCACAGGACCCAGGACTCCCCGGTGAGGAAATCTGCATTTCTCCTCCTCTGTAGTATAGTCCTGTACCCTTCCTTAGGGACTAATTCAACAAGAGCTCATGTTTGGCAAAGAGTGCGGTATATACTCTAGCAAAGTAGGACAGAAAGGTAGCTGATGTGTTTGGGCATGATTAATAATACTCCAAGCTTATAAAAATGAGGTTGAATCTTGACAATATCTTTCATGCCCATCGGCTCTGTACTTTGTCTTTTGATGACTTGTTTGTATTTTTGCTCTTGCAGGCTAAGGACCAATGCTTATTTGGTGCCCTGTAGATGTCATAATAGTGAGTAATTACCAGTTCTACTCACTGCCCCCCCCCACACACACACATACGGTAGCATTGTATTTATGGTAACTCCAGGATGGGCCTCTTCTTCCCGTTAGCTATCTTTATTCCATTGAGCCACCTTAGTTTTGTTGTTGTTGTTAATTAGACCATTACTAAAGGGTGAAAGAGAAAATCAATAACGAAATTTAAAATTAGACACTTATGTGACTCATTCCAGCAAAGAACTTAGCTAGAAGGAGGTCGGAATGCATTCATTAGCTTTTCTATTTTTGTTTAAGTGGATTTTAATAGCGATGCTATTCTTGAGCATATTTAGGCAGCTGATTAAGTAATAGCCGTACTTCATGTACACCCCAGCAGCGTGCTGTCCATCAGCTTATGTTTTATGGTGTCACTTCATCCTCTTCAGTTAGAAATGAGCCGCCTCAGCTCTGATTGTTGCGGGTTCGGAATTTTCTGCTCTCGTTTCTCCACACCTAAACCTGTAGTTTCGTCGCTTTAAGATGTATTTCTGTGGCCTCGAAGTGTTTCTTCTAGTGTTTTTTCCTAGTTAGTGTCTTCCCTTTTAGGAGCACAAGCAAGAAACCGCTTCAGTAGCCAGTTGTCCACGCTGCTTAGAGCAGCGGTTCTCAACCTGTGGGTCGCGACCCCTTTGGCGGTCCAACCACCCTTTCACAGGGGTCGCCTAAGACCATCCTGCATATCAGATATTTACATCATGATTCATAACAGTAGCAACACTACAGTGATGAAGTAGCAACGAAAATAATTTTATGGTTGGGTCACCACATGAGGAACTGTATTTAAAGGGCCAGAAGGTTGAGAACCACTGGCTTAGAGACTGGCAAGGTCCGGCCGTGATGATTTGCTGCTGTGCTTGTCACAGGTGTGGGTGATAGAAGGGCATGCTGTTCAGAAAGGAGAATCCCAGACAGCAGACAGTTAAAATCCCTCTGCATCCTGCACAATAAATACAGCAGATGGCTATTGATTGGGCACTGAGCTTGTTGCCACAGAACCCTGGGTTTCTGTGTTACAACACTCACTCTACTTTGCTGTAGTGTTGATTTATCATCTCCTCCTCTGGTACATAAGCTCTCAGAGAGGCTTATCTGTCTTGTTCACTGCTGTTTACTTAGTACCATTGTCAAATAGTTTCTCAATACATTTTTTTTTTTCTGAATGAAATAATAAATTCAGGAATCTTGCCTCTCTGATAGATATGGAGGATGGACTTAGCTCCCTTGTCATCTCAGCTCCTCCTGCTGGAAAGGTTTGGAGATGGTGCAGGGACTGCTCATTGGTACACCGCCTAGCAATGTCCACCTAATTCTCCCTTTCCATCCTAATACTGGTTGCTCCCCTCTCCCTCTCCCACCCTCACAATATCCTGTGCCTATTAAAACTTTTAATCACCCTGGACACGGTTATCTTCCCATCATTCTGGTTCAGAGATCACGGCCACAGCCACTGCTAGGTAATCAGTCAGTCCAAGGAGTGACCTTCAAGATCTTGTGACCTTGGACCAGCAGTGGTTTTAGCTGTCACAGGTGCCGCCAATGGTTTTGGAACTGAAGAGCTCACCTGAGAGCATGTCTTCGCTCCAATTGCAGGGAGAGAAACGGAGGCCAGGGGAAAGAAGGCGGGAGCCAGCGAGGAACTGAAACTCTACTACATGCCAGGCACATTTTAAATTTAATTTAGCAGGATGAAATCAAACTTATTAGCATAAAATTACTTCCTTTTACAGATGAGGAAACAAGTGCTCAGAAAAGTTCACTTATCTTAAGGTCACATGGACAGTAAGAGGCAGAATTCGGACTCGGCTCCACGTCTTTTTAGCCCATTTCTTGGCACCACACTCCCCGGGACAGGCAGTGGTCAAGAGCCTCTGTCCACAGAACCAGCTCCAATTCACCCAACTGTTTGGAACAAAACTAAGCCTAGAACTCATAGCTTCTAATTCCCAGTCTCCTTTTATTATCTTTGTTTTACTCACTTAAACTTTTTAAATCAAATGATATGTCCTCTGAAGTTAAAGTATCCGTAAAAAGCAAAAGGATCATAATTTTGCAAAAGAGGAAATATGTGTACACATGCAAAATATTTTATCTTGTGTCTAAAATAGGAAGGATATTGCATCAACCCCTTTTGCAGGGGGTGGAAGGTTTTCTGGGGGTTAGTTAGCTCATAGAGGTTAAGTATTATGAACTTGATTTAATTAAACAAAAATATGTATTGAGGACTGCGATGTGCTCACAGATATACTTGGTATCAATAGGTGAGATGTCAAAGCAATAAGACCTATAGTCTCTATACCTGCAAAATGTCCATGGTCTAATTTGAGTGAGATAAGGCTAGCAATGATCTTAGAGTGAGCCAAGGCTAATAATGGTGAAAAATATAAGAAAAATCATATGCATAATAGTATAGATGGGTAGTATTGGAGCAATTGAGGGAAAATAATGCTGAAGGGTGGTACTAAGAGGCATAGGACATACTGTAGAAGTAAGACTGATGCGTAAACTGAAGGTGGACACAGCAGAGCTATTCTGGCTTTTATGTGGTATCAAAAGAGGGATGGAGGGAAGGATAGATACATATTTCAGTATTAATCTATTGGGTAACATGAATGTGAACTATACGAGGATAGGAACATGGTGATCTGCAATGCAATGACTTTTTAAAAATCCTTTTAATTTCACAATTCTTGATTGACAGTGGTGGCCATGTCTTAATCATCTGTGAACTACAGTGCTGAGCATGGCTTGGTGTGGGGCAGCTGAATGAAAATGAATCTCTTTCCTCATCCCTACTTAGTATACAGTATATGTAGATAGGTAGATAGATAGATAGATAGATAGATAGATAGATAGATAGATGATAGATAGGTAGATTTCAGAAAGTTACAGTGTTGCATTTGGAGAACCTAACTTTCTAACAGCTTAGAAGAGGCCCTTGTAAGATTCCTCAGGCACTTCTCATTGTCTGTTGGTTTTCAGGTTAAGGTAGCTTGTGTATGTGGGCAGGTGGAATATTTGTCCCCAGGAGGCGAAGGCTGCTAATGGGTACACAGTCATCGCACTGTGGGCCTGGATGCATGACAGGCCAGCCATAGTAATCATTTCTCCTCTGAGAATCACTCGGAGAGCCACCCACTGAGAAGCACCCCTTCAGCCGAGAAGCTGCCAAGTATTGGGTCTACTTCTAGTGGATATCCTTTCAAGTAGCCAAGAGAAGCCCGCCGCTGCCTTTTTATCAACCAATGCTATTCACTGCGCCCACCCCGTCCCCTAACTTGCTAAGTGACCAGAGCCCCTTTCCTGCCCCAGCCCACCTTTTAGATGCTTTTGCACGTGGGGACAGTAGCAGTGTGCAATGTTTTGCATCCTTTTCAAAATGGTAATCTAAAAGAGATTACTGTTGCCCAGCTGGTGTGGCTCAGTGGTTGAGCATCAACCTATAAACTAGGAGGTCACAGTTCGATTCCCGGTCAGGACACATGCCTAGGTTTTGGGCTTGGTCCCCAGTGTGGGGCATGCAAGAGGCAGCCAGTCAATGATTCTCTCTCATCATTGGTGTTTCTATATTTCTCTCCCTCTCCCTTCCTCTCTGAAATCAATAAAAATATATTAAAAAATAAAATAATTTAAAAAGATTACTATCAGCTTGGAGTTTGTGTATTCTAACCCATTATATACTAGTGTTAATAATGACACCTTGCAGCCAGTTGTACATTGTACTTACATGCTTCTACTTAACCAACCCTTCACAAATAATGCTATTTATATACATTCAGTTGATAATAGAATTTTTGATAGCATTCATAGACTCCTCTTATGTTTTTATTTTTCCTTTTGACAGGTGGACCATCCCACATGTGCTGTGTTTTCTTTACAGTTTTGCTTTTAGCATCCTCCCCTGCCCTCCTCCCCATTTCTCTTCTCCACCTTTACTAGTGTCATCATATCACAGAGATGCGTGTGAACTGTAATAAGTGTCACTCTCACACAGGCCCCTTTGGTTTGGCCCCGTGCTTAAGTTTCTTTCTCTGGGCACATTTTTCACTTTCCTCTTTTGCTGTCATTAATTACTTTATCTGTGGCAAAACCTTCTCTTCAGCTAACCCCAGGGTTAAGAAATTCTTGTTCCAAGTACATGTCTCAATGTCAAGATTTTAGCAACTACTCTCCTACCTCTTTTCCCCCCTCCCCCACTGAAGAATTATGAGCTAAACTGGACCAAAGCAGAGACTTTAGGAAGAAGTTAGAAGGAAAATGTCTTGTCTGCTTAACCACTCCTACTCCACCCTTACAACTTACTTCAGAATCAGTGTGGAGAGAAATAACACGAAATCTAACCAATTTTGACTCCTAAAGTCAGGATATTTGAAACTCAAAATTTTAGAATAAAATAGTTTTGTATTTATGTTTTAATTCACCAAAGTGTTATTAGGAGCTAAGATTTGATCTCATTCCTGGGAAGCGGACAAACAAAACAGCAGCATCAGCTGTGCAAAGCAGGCTGACACAGCATAGGTGAGAGAGCCTGTGGTAATGAGAAATGGAACTCTGTGTTTTAAACTTTCACTTTTCATAGACCAATGGAGAAAGTTTATATTTTAAAAACATGAACTAAAAGTGAACACTTCTCCTCTTAGCTACCAATTTGATTGCATATGTCTTGTGTATGTATTTGTTTTATCAACTATCATCAAAATTCCTAGTAGTTGCCTAGTACCTTGTAAGTATTTCCCCATTAGTCATTTCACTTGGTAATGAATCATTTCTTCAAATTGAATAGAAATAGTTCTGATTTGAGCACTATGGTGACCTATGTGGATTTTTTTTTAATAATGTCCCTGTTCTGTGTATTTTTCAGGTTCCTGAGTTTATTTGAAGAGGAAGGAGAAGAAGTGGTTTCACCTTTGGGAGTGCTGTCTCTGCCTGGCTGCCCCCGTGCCTGGGGTTGCATCATGACCCCATTGATCCAGTGAAGTTCAAGGTGTTTTCTGGAGCAGCCTAGTCCTGCTCTGCCTGGAGCAAGCGTCTCTGCTGTGGGTTTCATGCTGCAGCGGGGACCATGGCAGCCTCCAGGACGGCCTCTCGGTCTCCGCGGGACATTGCCAACGTGATGCAGAGGCTGCAAGGTGAGGCACAGAAGCGGCCCTCGTTTTGGGCTTTTGTTGTTACTATGCTTTCAATATCCGTTTGTCTCAGAAATTTTCAAGGCACTTGCATTTTTATTCAATTTTACGAAATCATAACAAGGAATAGCAAAATGTCTTTTGTCCCAGTGTTTTCAAACGAGTCGATGCTACCTTAAGATTTTGTCTTCTTTATGTAGCATAAAGACAAAGTTCTTACGTTGATTTTGCATCTGCATTTGTGTGGCCTTATTAATGGTTATTTGGTGTCCAGTGGGAGTTCAGAGTTATAGCAAACTCTCCGTCACTAACAAATGGCAACACAGCTCCGTGACAGTGGTAACAAGTAACTAGATGCTATTGTCTGATAAGTAAACCAGTGGCTTACTTATCCCAACAGGAAAGCCCTTAGAGACATAGAAAGTCTTTAAGAAAAATGGGCCAAAGAGGCCCAAAGGGGTGCTGAGATCAGTGGTTAGTGGCAGCCTGTGGACTGGAACCGCTCCCACCTGTGTTGTTCCTCTAAGAGCAAGGTGCTCTTTGCAAGGGAAACAACAGTCAAAGGTTATGGCAGCTCATAAACGATTCCTATTTGTGAATTTTCTTTCAACATGTATACTCCTTGAGCCATAAAAGTCATCATCATCTATAGATATAAGACTGCTTCTCTGTACAACTCCCATTCTACCTCCCCCAGGCTTCAAACGCACGTTCTTAGGATACAAAAATACCCAGCGTTAGCAGGGATTTGCTCTAGTCTTTGTCCAATAATGTTACAGGTTGGCCTTCCGGTTTTCTAGAATCTCCAGCAAGTGATCAGTGTGGCTTTGCACCTTGGGCATCATATTAATCTGTCATAACTCCACTTCCCTGGCTTGCAGTGGACTTGATGTGCACAGCATTAATTTTCAGTTAAGCACGCTTGACCTTTCAAATACAGACTAAATGCTTACGTCTGGATATTTATGGCCTGCAACATGCTCCCAGCTTTAGAAAATCAGGTCGTGAGTGAAACTGGGAGTTTCCCCACCCGACCAGAAATCACCAATTAGAAGCTCCCCTCATCACGTGATCCCCAATCATTTTTATCTGCCCGAACAGTTTTGATGCTTCGGCGCGAGTGGTGCTTATTTCGCATTTATTGTTATAAGATGCCACTTGAAATGCCAGAAAGAGCCTGGCCAGATAAAAGAACAGATCTCTGTTGAGTATGTGGGCATAGACTTCCTCCATAGGCTGAACAGACCTCTGACTGGGTCTGCCCAGTGCCAGGGATCTCCAGTGAAAGTGTATGTCCAGTGTAAGTTGTATGTCAACAGCCAATCATTGACTGGCTGCCTCTTGCATTCAGAACTCCAATACTGAATTTGGAGTTCCATGCCTCTGTGTCTTGTCTTGGCTGTTTTCCTGGGTGTTCATTACTGAACCATTCTATGCATTTGGTGTTGCAGTGACCTCATCTTCGAAGTAATAGAAAGGAAACTTACAGGTCTCTTTCAAACTATGGGGGAAGGTAATTAGCTAATAAAGCAGATTTTCCTTTGAGTGCATTTAATGGGGAAATTCTCTGGATGCGATTGGAAATAAATGGAAATTATAAAAAGTAAATTTGAAAATACTTCAGAATTGGCTTATGATCCTACAGACATTTTATTCTTATTTTGGTTTGAATGACAACTCTTTTAAGATTATGGTTAGGGGTAAGAGGAGAGAGAAGAGTACTGATGTTTAGTGTGGTTATTTTTTAAATATATTTTTTTAAATGTTTGAATGTAATTTATTGTTTTTAATTCTATATTGTTTAAAGTATTACATATGAATCCTTTTTCCCCCATTGACTTCTCCCTGCTCATTCCCACCCCCTCCCCCCAGCAGATGCCCCTCCCCCCCTACTGACTGTGTCCATGAGTTATGCTCATATGCATGCATACAAGTCCTTTGGTTTATCTCTCTCCCTCTCCTCCCCCACTCCCCACCTTTCCTCTGAGGTTGGATGGTCTGTTTGATGCTTCTATGCCTCTTGGTCTATTTTAGTTCATCAGTTAATGTTGTTTATTATATTCCACATATGAGTGAGATCATGTGATGTTTATCTTTCTCCAACTGACTTATTTTGCTTAGCATAATCCTCCCTAGGTCCATCCATGCTGTTACAAATGGTATGACTTCTTTCTTTTTTACAGATGTGTAGTATTCCATTGTATAGATGTACCACAGTTTTTAATCCTCTCATCTTCTGATGGGCACTTAGGCTGTTTCCAAATCTTAGCTATTGTAAATTGTGCTGCTATGAACATAGGGGTGCACATATCCTTTCTGATTGTTATTTCTGGTTTCTTGGGATATATTCCTAGAAGTGGGATTACTGGGTCGAAAAATTAAAATATTTTTTGTGGTGGATATATAAGTGGTTTTTCTTGAGATGTGTGTGAAATGGGGGAAAGCATTAGAGCCCCGCCCCCCTTCCCCCCACCATTCCTTCACCTGTGACAGTGGATGTCCTATTTAACATCTATGCACTTAGGGACCCCACTAGCAAAATGTGGACTGGCTCTCTTGGGATTGTTGTCAAGCTCAGTGAGATGATAGATGAAGGTGCTTTGAAAACTATAAATACTGTGATGTGGTGAACTGTTGCAATAGCCATGAAAGAAAATTGCATTTTTATATATAAAAATGTCAAAGAAAACATTACAACATGTCATAAGTGTACCTGATAAATTTAGAGCAATAAACCTTATAGTTTAGAAAGAGATGATATTTCTGAGTACTAGACAATTTTCATTAGCTCTTAGCATCAACTACTTCATATGTATATACATCATATGTATATGCATATGTATATGCATACATCATATGTATATGCATATGCACTAGAGGCCTGGTGCAGGAAATTTGTGAACTGGGAGGGGGGTTGTCCCTCAGCCCAGCCTGCACCCTCTCCAATCTGGGACCCCTTGGGGAATTTCAGACTGCTGGTTTAAACCAGCACTTGGACATCCCTCTCACAATCCAGGACTGCTGGCTCCCAACTACTCACCTTCCTGCTGCCTGATTGCCTCTAACCACTTCTGCCAGCCTGATCACCCCCTAACCACTCCCCTGCCAGCCTGATTGACACCTACCTGCTTCCCTGCCGGCCCAATTGCCCCCAACTGCCCCCCCTGCTGGCCTGGTTGCCCACAGATGCCCTCCCCTGCCAGCCATCTTATGGTGGCCATCTTGGGCCCACATGGGGATGACCATCTTATGCCCACCTGGGAGCGGCCATCTTGTGCAGGGTCGTGATGGTCAATTTGCATATTACCTCTTTATTATATAGGATATGTTATTAATGGTTATAAAATGTAAGGTCTTGGGGCCACATCTAGCCTGGCCTCCATCAGTGGGAACAAAATGAACCTTGGAAGTGAAGGGGCCTGCAGATCTGTCTGCTCGCCTATTGATCTGCTGGGTGAATTCCGCTGACTCAGCTGGTGAGGGACGTGTCCCCTCCTGTGTTCAGCTCTCCCTGTGTGGCTCACTGATGTTTTCAGCCCAAGAAAGAGTCAATGTCCCGGACAGAGAAGACCTGGCTTCTGTCAAGGGTGGTTAGTGACCAAGTTCCTTATACACGGAGGGCGGGCAATATTGCCCAGATAATTAAGACACACGAAGAAATTTTTTTGAGGAAAAATACTTTTCTATTAACCTAAATAGAACTAGAGTTGCTAATTTCAAAGTTCAAACCCGTCAGAGCATTCTTCTAGAATCTGCACTCCCCCTCCGCCCCCTCTTTTGGGGGCCTGGATAGATAATCTGAGGAACAAGTGCCTTTCCACATCTTGGGTTTTATGACCATATCAGACCCATGCGTAACTAATAAAAAGCATGTAGCTTTGAATAGTGGCAACTTGGCTTTCCTCTCTTGTTTATTTAGTTTATAACCATAATATTTGGCTGTTTTATGCTTTTAATTTTTATTTCTAGTGCAAGAAGATTGAAGTGCACACACAGATTGCTACATCATTTAGCTGCTACTGTAGTCATTCAGTATTTCACCTTTGCCAATATTTGTGCTTGTCTGAGCCTCGTGTTTGAGGCTGGGATCCTGAATTATGGATGAGCAGACAGACTGCAATGCGGGGCTTCATTTGATCTTAAGAGTAATGACTGTTTTCTGTAACTTTCATCACTTTAAATACAACCTTAAAAGCAAATACTGGACAAAAAGTATAATACAGAGGTATTCAAATGTTAAAAGCAAATAATTAGTATATACATTTTCTGCTCTTAACGACTATGGGGATCAATTTAGCAGGTGGCTTGTGGAGACACTTTCCTTTATAGCTACACCTAAAAAAATAAATGTCTACTCTAAACTCTTCAGGTTTTCAATTTCTTGAAGATAATGATAAGAGTTTAGCCTCTTTGTAAATTTTCGTAGTGCTTCTAACACAATGTTTACTTAATAAAATTTGTTGGCTGACTTTTATTACATTCAGTTTTTCATTTGAAGATAATCTACTTTAAGGATTTTTAAGTAATGTATCCATGTTGACTAATGTAAAATCAGGGGCATCAATGCAGTCTTATAGAGCAGATGGTAAATACCAGAGGAGATTCAAATGGTCAGGCTCAGGTGTCATACAGAGGTCAATTCAATTAAAAAGTTGGAGAACTGACTACAAGGTCAAACTTTGATTTTTAAAACTTGTGAGTAAATTCAAAGAGAAACAAATGAGAAAAAAATAAACATTTACTCTTGGAGACATGCCTATTAAACTCTCTAACTCCAAAAAATAATCATGGCCTCCTTCTAAAATATTTAAATGTTTTTGGTTTACTATGATATTTTTCATAAATCCATTACACTGTGAAAGAAAACCTCAGAGTACCAAAAATGTTGACTGAAAAATAGAATAAACAATAATAAATAAATGATGAAAATGCAATTTTCTTTTAATTTAATATTGAATAAGTGTGGGAAAAGGGATAGTTTCCCATCTTGTGAAGATTCTAAT